CATTCTATTTCAGGATTGTCTTGAATCTAGCCCCTCCACTCTATCTCTCTTATCACCACCTAGTCCAGACCCTCCTCATAGCTTGCCTCAGTTTTTGCAACAGCATCATTAATCTCACATACTAGCTAATACCATCTCATCTTTGCTATGGCCAGGGTCACCCTTCCAAAGCAAAACACGGCCCACGTCACCCTCCTGCCTTACAGCTTCCCCTAGCTTCCAGTTGCCTACAAGGTAGAATTTAAAGATAAAATCCAAAAATCCTGTAAGATGAAATTTCTTGTCCTGCAGACTCAGCTGTCCCCACTCCAGTCACAAATTCACTTGAGCCCCATCTCTCCCCATCTCCTCCAGGCACCCTTGTTGCAAACACTTGAGACTTCTTTTCAAAAGACAGACCCAATTTCAAAGCACTGTTTACTAACTCTGTAGAAACTGGTCTAGAGTTGTTCACTCTTTCTGGACCTCACTTCTTTCCTCCATAAAGGGGAGATTATTTGGAAAGAGAAAAGGGTCGGAAAGATGTAAGATATGTCAGAAGTTGCCTAGCCTAGAGCTATTACAGTTTTCTATCTGTGCCTTCATAACATCACTTCCTCTACCTGAGGTACGTCTTTCTCTTCATGTGACAAACTCCTCTGTGATTATTCTTCTGCCTCCCCTAGACTGAGTTAGATGCTTTCTTCTTTGGGCTCCCGCAATAACCATAGCATTTATTGCATCATGACAGGAAATGATATTATTGTAAGATGCCTAAAAGGAATGCCTTTGTTTTTTAATCTGTACCTTGACCTGATATAGAAGTAGCTTCTCAAAAGTATTTGTAGAATGAATATAGGAAGGCACCGTGCAGGGCTCTGCTGTCCAGTTCTTGAATAGCAGATCTTGAACATCTCAAGGGATGGGAAACACACAGACCCACACAAATAACCACAGTAACAGTATCACTGGGATAAGGCTCAGGTGAGGCAGAATCGAAGTGTGATGGCAGCCAGCCCTTCCTTCTACCTGAGGACGCAGGGAGACAGGGAAGCCCTCACCGGGAAGGGATCTGAAGCATGCATGTGCATTTTATTTCCTATTTGGTTTCACCTGCCCACCTGTTTATTGTGCCTACCTCTCCTCATACCCTACAGAACCTGAAGTTTTGGTGGCAGAAGCCCAGAGAATGTTTCAGTTTAGCCAACAGTTCCTGAGAAATATCACAAAGGAACAGATAGACTTTTTTCATAATACAATTTTGAGTGGCAATTATAGTTTTTTTTATAAACCCTGAAGCCTTTAAATTACCAACAAATCAGAATATCTTTGAAGATGAAAACAAACTATACCAAGAAGATAAAGGTTTGAAAACTATAGAGCTATAAAGTCTTATGTTTTCATTATGTACCTACTGGAGAACAGATACGTTTTTTAGATTCTAAGTAATTAGAATGCCCAAGTGAAATTGAAAGTTGATGAACCATGACATACCAATCTATTTTAACATGATGTGTAGAGTAATGTTTGCCCTTTTTCATACCATAGGAAGATATTCAATAAAACTTTGAATATAGGATTTTTTTAAAGAAAAAAACTTGTATTATTATAAGCAGAAAAAAAATTGTATTATTATAAGCAGTGAAAACCTAGAAATGCTCAATGCTGAATCCAACAGAGTATAACTGTCATCATAAATTAGCATTTGGTAGCATCTTCTACATATATCACTTATTTCGATTGAAAAACTCTAATAAGTACTGAAATATCTTTCTTCGGTAGCACTGATTGCAAAATTAAATATCTCCCTTTAATTTTGTCTCCCCTGGAGTCATCACATTGCTGCCCTGATGACAAACTATATAGAATAGTCTAACAGTGATAATTGTAGCTACCATTTGCTCAGTGTTTATAATGTGCCAGGCAATGAGCTATAGGAGATTTTTATTTGGCAAGTTCATTAGAAGCTTAAGTTTACATTTTTTGTTCTCTGTATCAATTATCCCCAACTTTTTAGCACCAGGGACTGTTTTCATGAAAGACAATTTTTCCATGGACTGGGGGTGGGGGATGGGTTTCGGGATGATTCAAGCACATTACCTTTATTGTGCACTTTATTTCTATTGTTATTACATTGTAATACATAATGAAATAATTACACAGCTCCCCATGGGTTGGGGACCCCTGCTCTACATCACTGAAATTGAATTTACTTCATACCGTACGTACCTGAAGCTTCTTGAATTTACTTCATACCGTACGTACCTGAATTTACTTCATACCGTACGTACCTGAGGTAAAGAGAGCATACCCAAGTGCTGCTTTGAGGGCTTTCCTGGAGAAATGAAATTGGCCATTTAGAAAGAACAGAAATTGTATTTAAAATGACACAACCTGAAACACAAGAAAAACTCCATTTCTATATGAGCCAAGAGCAGGTATCAAGCAGAATATTTGGTCATGTTCATTCCAGTCACACCCCACAAGCAGAATTCCTGAATACTTTGGCTTCCCAAGTTGTTACCTGCTCCATATGTTCAAATAGCAGGTGTGATTACAAGGGACCTCCTCCTAGCTCTTTCCTCCTTCCAGGGGGAAGATTTTTTTAAAGAGAGGTCTTATGTCTGGTTCTATTTCTCCATTTTCATACTTCCAAACCCAATATGATTAGTATAAAGACACAATATAAAATACAACTCATTTGGGATAAACTGCCTAAAATGACTAATTGTGTTTGTTACCACTGTCTATGAATATAATCTTTTCTCTTTTATTAAACTTTTTTAAAAGAAAAATTTTATCATATAAAAAATTGAAAAGAATATAATGACCCCCCCATGACCCAATTCCAATAATTATCAATTCATGGGCCCATATTATATCATCTGTACCTCCTCTCCCATTATTAATTATGTAATATCTACATTGCCCCAAAGTAAAATCTAAAAAAATAATATCATCAGAGAAGTCTAACTTTTTTCCCTGTCCCTCCATTCTATTCCCTTGTTTCTCCCTAGATAACCTGTTTTTTAGGCTATTGTTTAGTTGCCCTTTTTAAAAATATAAGCAAATACATTTATATTTTAATTCTCCCTATCTGAGATACAGAAGAGGGTTCTAGTGATTGTCAAAACATTTTTAAGTATCTGGAGTATGTAAACCCTGTTAGTTGACTTTTAGAACAAAAGGCGAGAAATATGATAATTTTGTATCTATTTCATAAATAAATAATTTCGAATGTTTTGCAACTCTCAAGGCTGTGATCAAAGAGGGGGGTGCAGTAAATTTTGATTAAAATTCTGAAAATTGAAAGACGGCAATAAAGAGTCTGTCTGGAGATTTTGAGATAGATAGTAGTGTTAACGACTCTTTAATGCAACTGGATTATCTCCAAAAGGCACTCCTATAGTAAACACATTAAAAGCAAATTTCTCGAGCAAAAGTGATTTTATTCACAAACCCTCAAAATGATATTCTTTCTCGTAGATCGAATTGCACAGAACATCATCAAGTCCCATTTGGAGACGTGTCAGTACACCATGGAAGAGCTGCACCAGCTGGCGTGGCAGACCCACACCTATGAAGAAATTAAAGCATATCAAAGCAAGGTACTCTGAGAAACTATGGGAAAGTTATTCTGCGATCGCCCTACTTCTGGCTTTCTCCACCTTAGCGCTATTGACATTTTGGGGCTGGGTAACTCTTTGTTGTAGGGGCTGCCCTGTCAACTGTAAGATAGTTAGCAGCATCCTCGATCTCTACCCACTAGAGGCCAGTGGCACCACCCTCACACACAGCTGTGACAACCAAAAATGTCTCCAGGTATCGGCACGTGTTCCCTTGGAGGCAAAACTGCCCTTATTGAAAACTGCTGCCCTGTTTGAGTGACTGCAGAGACTGTGCCTTCATCGGATGATTTTAGAAAATCTCTTGGTGGCTTCCTGGGTCCAGGCAAAAAGCAGGAGCAACTGAGTGATCACAGCAGTAATAATAGTCACAAACTTACACAGCAAACATATAGAACGAAGCATTCTAAATGTCTTTTCTTGCCCTACTTGTTAAAAAAAAAAAGGGCCCAAAACAGGACAATTCACCCCTTATGATTATTATTATTATTATTGCTATTTCTTTGGATCCATTGAAGAAGTTTTTAAGGAAAGGAGTTTGTTGTTGCTTTTCAGTACTCACATTACTTTCCTTTGGGCTAGAGACCCTCAACTATAATATTTACCTAGAGATGGAATTTTAACAAAATATGTAAATGTGTGTATATCTAAATAAATGATTATAACATACTGATTTTTCTCCACCACAACAATTAAATCTTACTACTTTTATATAACTAAGGAAACACAGGAGCAGGTATTGCTATGGTCCATAAGAAGAAGAATTAACACACATAGATTTATGTTTCTCATTTCAAAGAAAATAACCCAAGGACTAAAATATATTTGGGGAATTCTATATAACTTACAAGAGTGATTTGATTTGAGTTGACATCTTTTCTCTCGGAGTTCTTTTTATACCAAAAACATAATCTCTGTAGGTTCTGGAAAAAGAACACAATATAAAAATATTACGAATTTAATGTTCATCAGGTGCCCATGAAAATGGCATCAAGGAAGTCTGTCTATAAAATCACTATTCCTCAATGCAATGGTTTGTTTTTACATAATGGACTAAGAGCTTGAGTTTGTTTAATTGAGAAGGAAGAAAAGGAGGGAAAAAATAGTAAAGAAAACAACTAAACTATCTTTATATACTATAAGCAACGTTTCTATTATTTTAGCCTCCGTATTTTGATCATTGTGGCATATTGAGGTTGAAACAAGTCAAAATATCATCTTAGGGGGAAAAAAAAGAAAAGAAAAGAAAATATTGCCCTCCTCTTTTAAAGGAATTATGTAAGTTCCCACCCTGGGCCCCAGGTGCCAGGCAGCAGCAGTAAGGCAAGGCTGAGTACGTTATTGACTCTCGAGAGGGTTGTTGGCCCCGTTTACATTGTGTCTTCTCTCTTGAAGTCCAGGGAAGCGCTGTGGCAGCAGTGTGCCATCCAGATCACTCACGCCATCCAGTACGTGGTGGAGTTTGCAAAGCGGATAACAGGCTTCATGGAGCTCTGTCAAAATGATCAAATTCTACTTCTGAAGTCAGGTGAGCAAGGAGGAGATTCACGGGGGGCCTATTTTAGACCAGGATGTGGTGGACCCTCAGCTCTGTGTCAGGTCTAGGAAACCCTCCTTCCCGTATGTAGCTGGTTTCTACCACCCACATTGGCTGCCAACTCCCAAAGGAAAACTCTCAGTAATAAAAATGCCCTGATATTCATTCAGTTCCCCTTTGAAGTCAAATACAATTTTGCTCATTGAAAGTGGAGCTATTAATTGCGGAGGCTGAGATACCCAGCTTGACAGGCAGTGCGAGTAATTAGCGTGTCAAGGTGGCTGAATTGCTGAGCTGGCGCTAAAACATACTCCTTGCCTTCTGCGATGGGGAAAAAAAATGCGGGTTAGCTGAGCTCTGCCTCTGTGGTCATTTCCAATCATTTTAATGAGGATGCCCTGCAGCCAGTATACACGGGGAGAAACTCCCCAGTGCTCTAATCTTTCCCTCCCCTTCCCTCCACACTCTCTGACACACATACACAATCGCTTTGGAAGTAGCTCAAGAAATTCTGCCTATGATTGACTTTGCAAACGCTATTACCAAATAGGAGAAAAATTATTTGTCTTTCTTGGCTTCCTTTAAAAATAGCAAATAAGGACCATCATGGTGTTTCTGCTACTCTTCATGGTCCTATGCTATGGTAATAATGACAACATACCCATATATATAAACACATGCACACATGCTTACCTATGATACCTCATTTAATCTTGTGAGATTGTCATTATTATTTACATTTAATAGAGGAGGAGGCAGAGGTTCAGAGAAGTAAAGGGCTATGTTCAAAGCCAATACACGGTAAAGCTGGCCTTTGAACTTAGGCCAGAGAGAATTGTTATTCTAAGCTGTTGCTGCTTCTTTTATCAAATGATGCAAGTTGATGTGAATCCTGACTCAAGCATTAACTTGATGTGTCAGTTGTCTGTTGCCTAAAACTTAGCCAAAACAACAATAATCATTTCTTTTGCTCTCAGAAATACAGTTTAGGCAGGGCTCAGTAGGAATGCCTTATCTCTGGTCCATGTGGAGTTCACTGAGGGCAGGAGGATCCAGTTGCAAATTGGCTTAGTCACATGGCTGGCAAGTTGTGCCAGGTGGCAGCCTGGAGTTCAGCCAAAGCTCTGGGCTCGGGGCCTCAGTTTCTCTCTATGTAAGCCTCTCCAGATTGTTTGGACTTCCTGAAGGGGAACCCAGTTCATTGTGTTTCTAACTAAGACTCAGATATGACCAATCCATGGGCTGACAATTAGGAACCACTGAACCGTATCATTTTTAACATCTCTGCCTGGTGTAAAAATGTTGACTCTAGTATAAAAGGCAAGGCACTTAATCTCTTTAAGCCTCCTACAACTCATCCATAAAATGGGTTTAATAAAGCTCACCTGTAATAGTTACTGCAAGGTGCAAATACAATAATAAATGTAAGAGACCAAAGAAAGTGCCTTCCATAATTGTAAATAAGAAATGGTACCTAGTACTGTTTATGTCAAAAAAGCATTGTTGCAATTAATATTTGCAAATTCTTTCATATATATAAGCCCCTATGCTAGCTGACATACCTAAGGGAAAGCAAAGAGAAATCGGCAAACATACATGTATCAAAAGAAATAAAACAGTCATAAATGCAAAGTGGTGGCACAAGAAAGACACCAAGATGTAGCCAAATTGCCAGTCTGATGCTCTCATGCAAATCCGTGGCTTTTGACTCTGGCTGTTACCTTCCACTATGCTGTGGGGGGCAAAGGCCCATTTCTCTAAAACATCGAGAAACTATGCAGCAGTACATCCTCAGCATGTTAATAAATGTTCAGAGGGAAAAACAAAGGTAGTAAATAAATTCATTTAATAAATATTTACTAAGCAGCTACTATGTGCCCGGCTGAGACTTTTCTTGGTTCTGGAAATGCAAGAGTGAGCACAATAACCACAAATTCCTATTGCTGCAGACAAGGTTTCTGCTGCCCTAATTTTATCAATTGTGAACTGTAGAATTGAAACCAACTTTAATATTAGTCAAAAAATAAAGAGAAATGCATATTTCCAAAAAATAATGTTGCTACCCTCCAGTTCAGCCACCTGTAAAGTATATTTTCTCTTTAATTCCTCACGTAAGTATCAAGAGAACTTTATTTCTAACATAGTTATTTGGGGGGAAGGAATCTTAAGGAATTTCTGTATGTGTGTGTTTGTTTGTGCCTGTGTCTGTGTGTATGTGTGTTTTAAAGTTCTTGAAAGACTCTTGAACTATATGCTGTGATAACCTCTTTATTGTTGGATATATATGTGTGTGTGTGTGTGTGTATATATATATATATACACACATATATTTAATCTTTTTTTAACTCACAGGTTGCTTGGAAGTGGTTTTAGTGAGAATGTGCCGTGCCTTCAACCCATTAAACAACACTGTTCTGTTTGAAGGAAAATATGGAGGAATGCAAATGTTCAAAGCCTTAGGTAAGTTTCCATTTCATGAGGACACAATTTTGTTAGCTACCATCAGTTTCTCCACTTAGAGTGAAATTGAAAAATGAAGTGCCCTGACTCTTCAAATGTAAACTTGTATCTCACTATTCAATAAGAGTTGGACCAGGTGAGCTTCCAGTCCAGGTAAGCCCCTCCTCATCTTACAACTGTGGCTCCTAATATAAAAGGAAGGAGGGAAATGTGGACCCTATTGAGACCAAGCCTGTTGAGATCTCATTCAGAAATAAATGAAGATTAGCACTAAAAGAGCTGGGCTGCACTGTAGGTCATTCTTAGTAGAATCAGCTTTTCTTTTACCTCCTAGTTTACTGCTTCACAAAGCATATTACCTCTTAAGTTTTTTATGTCAATTCATAGTCATGAGTTAAGATACTTAATTAAAAGAAGAGCTCCTTCAGTTGGTTCTCATGGAGAACACTTAATTCATGAAGTGCTGGGAGCACAGATAGAGTTGGTGCCAACCTGTCCCAAATGATCCCCAGCCCATTCTTGCAGGAGAGCACTGAAAGAGTCAGTCTTTGTTTGCAAGTGTTGTGTGTCATCCCATCCAGTCGTCAGCGCACAGCATGGAGAAGAACATTAGCAAAGATGGGCTGACGCCAGGAAAGGTTTTAACGATTGATAGTGCCATTTGTTCCATATCCTGCCCACAGACACCAAAGAAGGCCACTGCCCTTTCACCTCTTGTCCTGTTAGTTGATATGGCAGCCAACAGCAAGTCCATCGGGACTGGCAGTGTTTCCCTTCTACAGTTGATACACATCCATGTCATCTCCAGGGCTAGATTTTCAAGAAAGGAGGAAAAGCCTTGGCAAGCAACCTCAGTACATTTCCAGCTTCATCAAATAAACATTTACCAGGGAACAGTATAGAGATGCAACGTTATTTTGCCAAAATTCACGATGGCTAAGCAACTGACCTCTGATCCATTCATTAGAAGATAAAAATAAACTCTAGCTCTTCAATCAAATTTCCAGGGAAATTACCAAATTGAAAGATACCTCATCTCTGTTCCATAAGATGTTCCTAACATTTCAGTTTGAAGCCTCTGAACACCCTACATTGCTACGTTCAAGTGCCACTAGGACCGACAATCTTCAGCCCCTGTACATAATGTTTTAGGTTTTCTTTGAATACTATCTTTATTATAAAAGATCCCCAAATAATTGATTTAATTTTTTTAAGTTGGAAAAAATTTCAAATGTATAGGATTAGATTCAGATTATGTATTCTCAGCCAGATATTACACTAGACACTCACGTGTCAACCTGCCCCTCATTTTTTAATGTTAACTTCAATCACCTTGTGAAGATGTTGCCCATTTTCCCCATTCTATAATTAATATCAAGTCATTTTTTTTTCCGTGGTGAGGAACTTAGACATATTTTTCTAGATTTCCAGTATGAAAATCCTTGAATAACTTCTTGATGAGACTTGTCTTATTCATGCCTTGTTCTAAGTTCAAGCATTTTCATTCCATTTTCCTTCTTCCTTTATAGGTTCTGATGACCTAGTGAATGAAGCATTTGACTTTGCAAAGAATTTGTGTTCCTTGCAGCTGACAGAGGAAGAGATTGCTTTGTTCTCATCTGCTGTTCTGATATCTCCAGGTAGGGCGGTCTCAGGTCCTTTACCTTTTTTTTTTTTTAAGCTTGTTTTATTATCTTTAACATTGATTATAACTACCTAATCCAAAGTGTTCAGGAGAAATTTTAAAAGAACTATCATTTTCTTTGGTAAGCTTTTGACATTTTTGGACAAGGCAAAGGAAAGTAGCCTTGAGTTTATTAAAATGACCAACTTTGTTCCAAAAGCATATGGTTAGGGGCCGCTCAGATTCAGATAAACGAAATTGTTTCTTAACAAATAAATGAAGACACACAGTGCTCTGAGTTACAGCTATTTTAGTTACAGCTAAAGTTCTATTTTGACTTTAAGAATAAAGTGCATGGAAAATAAATATTTAGTAAGGTGAGACTCAGTAGAAATGTACCTAAATGAAAGATCCAGGATAGGGACTTAAATAAGTAAAAGGTACACTTTCTCCTCTTTAAATACCTCTTTCATTGGCTTTTCCTCCCAAATTAGTGTTGGTGTGCTCACTTCAGGCAAGTAAAGGCTGATGCCTATTTTCTTAGCAATACAGCTGAGCCTTGAACAATGCAGAATTTAGGGGAACGACCCCCAATACATGTCAAAAACTCAAGTATGTCTTCTGATTCTCCAAAAACTTTGCTAATAGCCTGCTGTTGCCCAGAAGCCTTACCAATAACATAAACAGTCGATTAACAGGTATTTTCTATGTTACCGTGTTTCCCCAAAAATAAGACCTACCCATAAAATAAGCCCTAGCAAGATTTCTAAGCATTTGTGCAATAGAAGCCCTATCCTGAAAATAAGACCTAGTGATGGGCGTGGCTGCGCAGCATATCTGCACAACCCATGCATTTCGTCGTGGAGCGGTAAAGAAGAGGAGCAGCCCTTCTCATCTGCCCCATGAGAGCTCTATTGCTCAACATGAGAGATTGGGGCCAATGGTTCTAAAGGAAACAGAGTCACAAGAAATTCAGGATGGAATTCGGGGTTTGGAGAGTTATGATGATGTTCCAGAAGAAGACGACTTAACTATATTTGAATAAATGTAGATTGTTGTACCGTACTTAAAAAAAAATAACACATCCCTTGAAAATGAGCCCTAGGGTGTCTTCTTGAGGAAAAATAAATATAAGACCCTGTCTTATTTTCGGGGAAATACGGTATTTGTATTATATTTATTCTTGCATTAAAGTAAACTAGAGAAAAAGAAATGTTATTAAGAAAATCATAAGGAAGAGAAAATGTATTTGCTATTTATTAAGTGGAAGTGGATCATTGTAAAGGTCTTTATCCTCATCATCTTCACATTGAATAAGCTGAGGAGGAGGAGGAAAAGGAGGGGTTAGCCTTGCTGTCTCAGGGGTGGCAGAGGAGGAAGAAAGTCCCCCGACAAGTGGACTCGCACAGTTCAAACCTGTGTTGTTCAAGGGTCAGCTGTATTAGGAGTTTTAAAAGGAGGCGAGGACAGCCGAGGGGGAAATGGCTCCTACTAAAGACTGCCTAGTGGAAGAGGAAGAATCTCAGACGTGGACATGGACACTCTGGTGCCAGCTCTGTCACCAGTTATCTGTGTGACCTTAAAGACCTGACCCTCAGAGCCTCAGTTTCCTCATCTACAAAATAAGAGGGTTGGAACTCATAATAACTAAGACCTCTGCCAGCTCTAAAATGCAATAAAATACCAAAAAGTTTTCAGACAAGCCAAGGTGTGATGCTTGTGGATCAACTAGAACTATAGCAATTAAAATACTTTTCAGAAGTAGATGTGCAGACGAATTTTTGAAGGAAAAGAACATAAAAGTAAAGAAAAAGTAGTAATAAAAATTTTTAAAAATAAAAAAGTATATGCCAGCTTGAAATGTAATGATAAATAATTATAATAATAATATAATAATAATGATATGATAATAAATACATGGCTCCCCCTTCAACCAGAAGGAGAATTCAGTCTCTCTCTCAGCTGCCTGTTTGGTTAGATTTTTGAGTCAAGGGATGTCAGTATCATTGACAGCTCTCTATTGAAAGAAAAACACATTCCCCCCTACATTTTTTTTTTTTTTGAGACAGGATCTCACTCTGTCACCCAGGCTAGAGTGCAGTGGGGTCATTGTAGTTCGCTGCAACCTCAAACTCCTGGGCTTAAGCAAGTACCCTGCCTCAGCCCCCAGAATAGCTGGGACTATATGCGTGCATTACAAAGCTCAGCTAATTTTTTTTAGTTTTTGTAGAGATGGGGGTCTCACTCTTCTAGATATGCGATCATATCATCAGCAAAGAGGGATAGTTCGACTTCCATTTTCCCCATTTGGGGGTCTCACTCTTGCTCAGGCTGGTCTCGAACTCCTCAAGCAATCCTCTCACCTCGGCCTCCCAGAGTGCTAGGATTATAGGTGTGAACCACCATGTCAGGTTCCTGACTAATTTTTAAGTTTGAGAGACTCATTCCTTCTGTAACCCATTTATCTCTAGAGACTAGATCTTCTTTCTTATATGCTAGTATATTTTTCCATGAGGCTGGAAGAAGTTAATCTTACCTGTGATATAAGATTATCTTATACCTTTGGCATGTCATTCTACCTATATTTACCAACAATACCAACCTCTACACTTTTTATCTGTTAGGCTTTATGACTCTTAATATGAACATTGATGGTCTTATCAGGGTTTTTCGAATTTGCTGCTGTTTTTTATTTAACCGCTTTATCAAAAATGGAAATTAGTTCTCACATGGAGTGTTTTTACTAACAGTTTCTTTTATGGCTCTGTCTAAAATCAAGCTGTTCCTCTGGGCCTTTTTTTTTTTTTTTTTTTAAACCCTAGAAAGTTTCCCAGGACTGGAAGCACAAAGATAGACAGAAGAAGTGACAAGAAACACTTATTTCTGATAGCAACCATATGCCAAATAATTTTCCTTCTACCGTTTTCTCAGTGCATGTCATTATTTCCCTTGAGAATAATTCAATAGAAGACTAAATCTAAGCCTATGGGTCTATGGATGAGCGAGATGATTTTACGATGGTTCCTGCTAGTTCAAAGGAAGCATTAGAAAGAGTCACTCTCTTCTTTGGGTAATGTTTGTGGCCAATCAGTAAATGTCAAGCAGCAAATATTTAAGACATGAAATGTTAAACCTGAATGATCTGTGAAAATGACTGCCCCAGAAGAAGGGTTGCCTGTTGTTCCTTACGAGTTAGAAATCAGCTGAGCTGTTCAGCCCTTTTCTGGAAAGAACATACTATCGCCATCAAATTCTGAGGAGTTTGGAAGCATGAGATTTGGCTCACTGTACCCAGTGGGGAATCTTTCAGTGCTGGTAGCAGACCCACACGGAGAAGCTTCAGCAACTCCAAATACCTTCTTTGGCACCCTGGCGTAGGGCCATCCTTTAAAAGAGAGGGAAGGAAGACAGATTTCCAGCCTGTGTAGGCTCCATCCCCTGCTAGACACCCCCACCTTCTCCGGGTTCTCGACATAAGGGCCACTGTCTATTCAGCTCCAAACAGCTTAGGGGAGGGAGAGGGAGAGAAACTTAATTTATTCTGATTGACAATTGTCACTGAAGGCTTTTTGTACTCACTTACGTAAGGGTTTGCTTAACTGTTGGCTAGACTTGTCCTCGTCCTGTCTAGGATTACAGAATCGAGTTTCTCACCTGACCTGAATTGTGTTCAGGAGGATCATGTCCAGGTTCTTTTCCATGAGTATTTGTTCAGTATTTGAGGATTCCAGATGTCTCTTCATTGAAGGTCCAACCTGAAGCACTGATGCTGGGCTGAATTTTGTCACCATGGTATATAAAGCCTCTAGAAAGAAAGGAAGGAAGGAAGTAGGGAGGGAAGGAGAGAGGGATGGAGGGAAGAGAAGCAGTGTGTGAGGGAGAAAGGAAGAGAGAAAAGGATGGAGAAAGAAAGAGAAGGAAAGAAAGAACAAAGGGAGAGAGGGAGGGAAGGCAGGATTATCCTACCCACCATTTAAAAATTCAATATGGAAAAACTAGGACTCAGGAGTAACTTTTTGAAATTGGTTCATGTTCATACTACATAAATTATAACATAGCTTCAGCTTTATTATCTGATGGCAGAATAAGCTGAGAAAAGGAAAAGGAATCCTGAAACCAAAAATATTTCTATATAATAGACTTTCTTCACTTATATAATTCACTTTCTTTATAAATGCTAGCTTCTGCTTTGAAAGAAAATCTAAGCATATGTCCAAAGAAAGAATGAGAGATGTAAATTGTCATAGACAATGAGAAACAGCAAAGGAGTTTGTTTGAACCATCGTGTCCCTTCCTCCAAACTTATTTCCTATGTCATTATATTATGCATTGCTGGCATCATGGTATTGTTTATATTTGTGTTTTACACAAACAACGACCTATCTTCAGAAGCAATTTGGAACCAAGCAATTTTAAGTGGGTCTGACACTCAGCACTGACACTTGTTGGTAAAATAAAACAGCTTATGTTCTCTCCCCTTCTTATCTATTCCTTTTCCTTTGTCAGACCGAGCCTGGCTGATAGAACCAAGGAAAGTCCAGAAGCTTCAGGAAAAAATATATTTTGCACTTCAACATGTGATTCAGAAGAATCACCTGGATGACGAGACCTTGGCAAAGGTAGGTCCTCAGATCACAGGACCACTACCATCAAGAGGGGGCTGTGAGCAAAAGGGGCCTGTTAGGAACCAAGGGAAATTTCCCAGCAGCAACAATTTCTGAAAGTTGTCAAAGGCTCCATAGATTTTGAGGTATGCATTTTAAGAGGGAGACTAGTTAAATTATAATAGATAGAGAGGAGAATGGCTTTTTTAGAGAAGGGTGATAATGACAGATCTGAACCCAAGGCACAGGAAGACCAATCAAAGGAAACTGAGGGTGTTTCATGAGAAGAACAAAAGCTTGGAGCAAGGAAATAAGCCTTCAAAATTCATGTGCAAAGAAGGAGAACACTATGCCAGTTAGGGACTCAGGTCTGGGCAAAAGTTAAAAGTGGGTAGATATTTATTCAAAATAAGGAAGAACCATCAAACAATGAGAATTGTTGAACAGAGGGGTGGGCTGCTGCATGTCCACCAGTGCTCCCCGTCACTGGTCAGATCCTAGCAGATACTGCCTGGTCACCCCTCGGCTGTGTTATGAATTGGCAGTCCTACCCAGAGTGGAAGAATAGATTGATGACTTATAAATTTCCCTCCAATGCTAATCTCTTCATGCAGGACTTGCCTTGAGGTTCATTCAAAATAGTGAAGTATCCCATGGGCAAAAATGCATGCAACATGCTGCCAATTTCTGCTTAATTAAGAATCGTGAATTTTTTTTTTTTTTTTTTTTGAGACAGAGTCTTGCTTTGTTGCCCAGGCTAGAGTGAGTGCCATGGCGTCAGCCTAGCTCACAGCAACCTCAAACTCCTGGGCTCAAGCAATCCTGCTGCCTCAGCCTCCCGAGTAGCTGGGACTACAGGCATGTGCCACTATGCCATATATATATGTTAGTTGGCCAATTAATTTCTTTCTATATATAGTAGAGACAGGGTCTCGCTCTTGCTCAGGCTGGTTTCGAACTCCTGACCTCGAGCAATTCGCCCGCCTTGGCCTCCCAGAGTGCTAAGATTACACTCGTGAGCCACCATACCCGGCCAAAGAATCATGATCTTTAAGAAGAGTATTAAGAAAAATTGTTTACCAAAGTAAAATAATCACAAAAGGAAGAAGTAATTTTCAATGATCGATATTCCGCATTATTTTATATCTTAAGAACTAGAATTTTTTACAGAGTAAGAAACTAGGAAATTGAGCTTATTCTTGGATAAAGATGATAGGAATCCTACTCTTTGTATTTTTATCATTAAAACCTTCCCACTCTGCCCTTGAAGTTCTTTATTTTAAAAAGGGGGAGGGTAAAGACTCTATTTGAAGACACCGTCAGATTTTACTTCGCACATACACAGCACTGCTATAAAAAACCCCCATGAGTTAAATATGCTGCTTCATTATGGTAACATTTTGTTAAAATTAACGCATCACTAGGAAGAACATTTCCACATGGTAGAGTGATAGTTCTCTTTGACGTAACTTTTCACTTGTTATGTGGTCAAGGGCAAATCACCTGCTCAAATCACCTCAGTTTTCTCCCAGTCAGGAGCAGAACTTCAACATGTTTTCATATTCACTGGGCAGAAAAGATTGTAATGTGAACATAAGCATGTGTCTCTATACTTCCTTGGTAGCTTAATGTGCATAAATACATCTAGCTAATTCACGTGGGGGGATGTTTCTTGCATTTGGGATCTTCCAAAAACTTTGGTCCCCATATTTGCTCTCCTAAAATTAAAGTCTTAAAAAACCCAGAGTTAGATGAAAGTTTTTGTTATTCTGCCTAGGGGAGTTGTCTGCTTGCCTGAAAACCATGGTCTCATCATCTAGAAAATGAGGAATACAATTTCTTTTCCTGTACAGGTGTGTTGTGAGATTCAAATGAGATACACACTGCATAAATTCTAACACACTGTGAAATTGTGATTATTACTCCATTGGGAGGGCAGGATGTTCATGCTTAACTCCTTTCTGCCTCTCAATGTCCTGGTGGTGATTTGAGGAATTTGAGGTAGAAAGTAGACAGAGAAATTGAAGAATGAAATGTACCTGATGGCAAGGAAAAAAAATTGCAACAACGACTATACATCAGTTTAACTTCCCTTTCTATCTCTTTAGTGGGAAAAGTACACAATTCAGTTCTTCTCTTATAGAGAAGTAATGCTGCAAAGCTGAGAATGCATTAGAAGAAGATTATTTCTTGTATAAAATACACTGGAGTCAGGTGACAAAACATGGTTTCCAAGGCCATGTGTAGATATTGGGTTTTTCTGTGCACCCTTTCTTGTAACAGTCATCATTTTTATAGGATGTTATCTGAACGAATGTGGACTGACCATGAAACCAAGTGAGAACTGGATTCTCACTTATCCCAGCTCCAAACTCTGTGGCTTCGGATAAGTCACTTGTCTGAGTCTCACACTCATCAACTGTCAAGTGTTGGAGGAGGTGGGAGTGTTAAGTGAGTTCTTTTAGCTCCTGGCTGCTTTAACACTCTGAGGACAAACACACCAGTGGTGTATAGGACACCCTCTCACCGAATTCCCCAGAAGGAATAGTTTTGTTTAAATTCAAGAGAAACTGTTTCACTCCACCACGATTCTTCTCATCTTTTCAGAAATGCTCCCGTGCCTTCGTAGTCATGGAGTTCTACCTCCATAATTCTTCTAAAAAAACAATGGCCATTCTTTTTCTTTTTTTAGACAAAGTCTCACTTTGTTGCCCTGGGTAGAGTGCCGTGGCATCAGCCTAGCTCACAGCAGCCTCAAACTCCTGGGCTCAAGCAGTCCTTCTGCCTCAGCCTCCTGAGTAGCTGGGACTACAGGCACATGCTACCATGCCTGGCTAATTTTTTCTAGATATTTTTAGTTGGCCAATTAATTTCTTTCTATTTTTAATAGAGACAGGGGTCGTGCTCTTGCTCAGGCTGGTTTTGAACTCCTGACCTTGAGCAATCCACCCACCTCGGCATTCCAGAGTGCTAGGATTACAGATGTGAGCCATCGCGCCTGGCCGGTCATTCTTAATATTTGCTGCTCATGGAACTCTTGGGGAATCCAGTAAACATTATGAAACCTATCTCTAGAAAAATACACATATACCCAAAACGTTGTGTTCAAATCCTGAGGCTCGGGTTAAATCTCCAGTAGTCAGGGGGTGGGGGATACACTTGCCTTCTGTGTGCTGTGCAAAGGACTCTTTCTACCACCGACCAGTTCAACCCTGAGCAGGTGTCACAGACTTCAGGTTAGAGGTAGAGGATCGTACCCAGTCATTGAACTTCCTCCTAAAAGAGCGATCTCCAGCACACTTTCTCCATGCCCACTTCCTGAAAGTTAAAGTTCAGCTAGCAGTGCCTTCTAATTTTGACTAAACTTTAACCTAGGGAAGGTTTGAAAATTCAGGGATTCTGTGTCCATTAACTAGAAGATTTCAATCCCTATATATTAATCTGGTTTTTGATTTGGGGAGGGGGTGGTTAGGGAAAAAAAAAAAAAAACTTTTAAAGAATCTAGTTTCAGCCAGGCGTGGTGGCTCACGCCTGTAATCCTAGCACTCTGGGAGGCTGAGGTGGGTGGATCATTTGAGCTCAGGAGTTCAAGACCAGCCTGAGCAAGAGGGAGAGCCCATCTCTACCAAAAATAGAAAAAAATGAGCCGGGCATGGTGGCGCATGCCTATAGTCCCAGCTACTCAGAAGGCTGAAGCAGAAGGATTGCTTGAGCCCAGGAGTTTGAGGTTGCTGTGAGCTAGGCTGGTCACAGCACTCTAGCCTGGGCAACAGAGTGAGACTTGGTCTCAAAAAAAGAAAAGAATCTAGTTTCCTTTCCTCATCAGTGTAATGAGGCATATTTACACCATATTTACAATAAACTCTCAGTTTTATTACATAATAAACTTGCTATTTGAGTGACTGGACACATAACTTAAACTGTCTGTACCTCAGTCCTCATTTATACAGTGTGACTACAGACAGTACCAATGTCATACCAATAACCTCAAAATATGATTATTTCAAGGACTAAATGAGATAAAATATAAGTAAGCTGCCCAGTTCACAATAGGCATTATGTAGTTGCTATTGCTGTGTTGTAGTTGTTGTTGACAGAAGAAATTTTATTTCAGCGGGGAAATTTTCAGCCAAGAGATAGTATATTTGAGCTAATCACTGGTGAATGAAAACTATTTCAAAAGAAGGAAGTTGGGAGGCTGGGGTGTGCAGAATGGCATTCCAAGTGCCAGGGGCAACGATATGGAGGAAGGAAAGCATAAGGTATATTCGGGCTATAAATAATAGTTAGATTTGGCTGGAACCTGGATTTGAGAAGCCAGGAAATGAGATAACACTGGTCACTTTCACTAAAACTCATGAAAAAATACATACATATATATTTAAAATAAATATACATATATATTTTTAAGCCCCATATGACTAGAGGAGGCAGCCCATCTGTTCTCTGGGCTTCACTTTTCTTGTCTGGGAAATGAGTAGGTTGGACTGCATGGTCTTTAAGGTCTCTTCAGTGTGATATTCCTTGACTCCCAAAAGAAGAAAAACAAAGGTTCCTCTGGACCTCTTCTCTTGCCCTGCCGCGCTCGGTCCAGTGCGACTGTTTTAAGTACTCTTTCAATGTTTTACCGTCACAGTAAGTGAAGAAAAGAACTGATGTTGCCAAGTCTCGCGGATCCACGTTAGTTCTCTGTGCGCCGTGGTCATCTAGCCTAGGATGATATTCCCACCACAAAGCTGCAAAACACACAGTGTTTGCACAGCCTGGGTTCAGAGGTCAGCGTTCCTGCCAGGCTCCCAGGAGGAGGTCCGCCACCTTGGGCTGTGGTGGCTGCCGAGACTCACATTGAGAGGTTTACTTCCTGAGTGAAGGACGCTGTAAAGTTTTGGAGCCTGTGAAGCAATTTTTCCGCTCAGTTGAGAACAGCAGGACCACTGCTGGGGATGGAGAAACAGCGGGAGATAAGGCAGTGAGTGTTTGGACTGGAACACTGTTGGCACTTCTATTCTCGGGCT